TATAAATAACACCTTCTCATAGTGGATCAACCAGTTTGCTGCTGACAACCAGAACTAGCTGTTCACATGTAAGGAGGCCCATCAGCCTAACAACTGATTGTTGGCGCCCTGATAGCCGCTTGTTATTCACAGGAGGCTGAGTGATACTAGCAATCACAGCATTGTAAGAGGGGGACAGTTGAACCCGGAGGCCTCCACCCCTGTTTAATGATGGACGGTTTCTTTTCACAAAGATGGCCTCCTTTACTCCTCTCTCAAACCATCGTTCCTCTCTGTCCAGGATGTGAACATCTTCATCCCTGAAAGAGTGACCGCTGGCCTGGAGATGAGTGTAGACCGCAGAGTCCTGGCCTGATGATGTTGATCTTCTGTGCTGGTCCATCCTTTTGGCCAGTGGCTGTTTAGTTTCCCCGATGTAAGACTGATCACCCTCCTGACACTGAACAGCATACACAACATTACTCTGTTTGTGCCGGGGGACTGGATCTTTGGGATGAACCTGTCTTTAATGTATTTTGGGGTTTAAAAGCCACTGGGACGTTATGTTTAGAAAATAAACATCTCAGTTTTTCTGATACTCCCTCAACATACGGAATGACCACTGGTCTGGGTCTGGGTTCCTCCTTTTCACCTGATGGCTGACTGGAGTCCTGTTTGGGTTTCTTCTCTGCTTTCAGGAAGGTCCAGTTAGGATATCCACATTGCTCTAGAGCCTGTCTTGTGTGGGATTTCTACTTCTGCCTGGCTCCTGAGCTAGTGGGGACGCTGTCTGCTCTGATACAGAGTCCTGATGACTCCTTGTGCTCCAGGGGGTGATGGGAGTCAAACCACATATACTGGTCTGTGTGGGTGGTTTGCGGTACACCTCAGTTTCCAAATGTCCTCTATCAGAGACTACAATCCAAGAAAGCCAACCTGCTATTTTTTACATCTTCTCGTGTGAACTTGATGTATTTATCCACAGAGTTGATGTGGTAGTGAAATGTTGGACTTCCTGAGATTTAATTTTAACCCAGGTCCGTTAGATTTAATGTGTTCTTGCTTGACACTCTGGATGGATTCAAGAGAAAACCTTAAGTCCTACAGAAGTCAGAGACACATTAGTTGAAAGAAGACCAAAATACCTACGATTTGATGTGTAATTTGTATATGTATTAAAAAGGTTCAAGAGAAAAAGGAGTTTTAAACGGACCTCATCATCACATGCTAAGTTGAACATTTTTGGTAAAATCGTCAAAAATCATAAAAATTAAATTGTAATTGTTTAAAAATTATAAAAGATATTAATTGGACAGATTTTAACAAAACTTTCACAAAATAGATTGGGTTGGATTTAAATCTGTAACTTATCATATTTTGAAGCACGTGAGTCATCTTCTCCTTGGTTGAACAACTTTTGTTTCTTTCTCTCTTTGCTCAGCGACCTGACCGAGGGCTGTTTTAACTACCCGCTGGTGGAGAAGTTTTTGATGACCAAGCGCTGCTCGCGGAGGCTGCTGTCCTGCTACCTGCTGTGCCGCGGCCTGACTCTGGTCACCTTGCTGTGTGCATGCCTCTACCTGGGTTACTACCTCAGCCTGGCCTCCGTCACAGATGACTTCGGCTGCCCGCTGCGAGTCGGACTCCTCACCAACGACACCAGCGTCCCTGAAAGGGTGCAGTGTAAGCTCATTGCTGTAGGAGTCTTCTTTTTGCTCAGGTACGGCTTTACATAGTCAATATAATAATCATAATCAATAGTTAAAATGAAATTGATCTTATAGTCCTTCTGTTTTTTGTTTACTCTTTCCAGCCTGGTCAACTTGATCGCCTTCATCGCACTTATCCCCGTCGTGATCTACGCTGGTCTCCGCCCCCTCTTCTGCCAGGGATACGCCCACTTCCTGGAAACTTACCAGTCCCTTCCCACTGTGAGCGTCCTGCCCAAACCCGAAGGCCAATGGGATGATCTCTCGCTCTACCTGCTCTACCTGGAGGAAAACCTCAGCGAACTCAAGTCATACAAATACATGAAGGTGTGTAAATATTCTGATTGTATCCTAGCACGTATTTGTCCCAACATTCAGACAGCAGGAAGCTGCAGACGGTTCCAACAATTAGCAGAAAACTGTAGGGATCTGCACCTGCCCTGCTGTGTGCAGATAGTTATTGACTCTCAGGTGTCACTTTATTGTGTTTAATTAGACTCCCCTTTATATACGGTGCTCTCCTGCATCTCAGGCAGGGGAGCATTAGGTGCTTAAGCTGCATCTTCACGGTCGTCTCCTAGTGCCTTGGTATTTCCTGTTTTTCCTACGAATGTAAGTAGTATCGCTGCCCCGACAGCATTATTTGTTATTGTTGCCTTTTTGCGATTAAAACGCCTTTTTTGTAACCTTGTTTGAGTCCTGCTTGCATTTGGGTCTCAACCACCACTCTATCGTGACAGAATGCTCCCCTCATCAAAGAGAGCCAGCAAGCAGCTCCACTTTTTTGAGTGTTTTTCAAGTAACACAGGAAGAACTGTGCATCGAGAGAAAAGAGAGTGGGACAGGAGATCGCCTCGCTCTTACCTGGCACACTCCATGACGGCTTCCACGCCCTCGAGGTTTCCTGCTCCGCCACCAGTGGACTTCACTGCTGCAGCCCCTGTGGTCGCTTCCAGGCTTACCGCAGTCTCCGTAGTTTTTAAATCTCCTGCAGTCTCTGATGAGTCCACGCCCCCGGTGGGTCCCACGTCCTCAGTTGTTCCTCTGTCGGCGGCTACTCCTACACCTCCAGTGACTCCTGTGCCAGCCACTACTGCTGCTGCTCCTGAGGTCACCACGTCAGCTGCTGCTCCTCTGCTGGTTCCTGCCTCCTCTGCTGCTGTCGCCTCTGAGGTCATTGCGTCAGCCGCTGCTGCCTCTCTTCTGGTTCCTGTTGCTGCGCGCAGCCCCCGAGGTGGACCTCACTTCCCCTGCTCCGAGGGGGTCCCGGCGGACGCTCCTCACCTCTCCGTTTCCGAGGGGGTCCCGGCAGACGCTCCTCACCTCTCCGTTTCCGAGGG